CTGGATGGAAAAGTTCCTAGCTTAAAACAAAACACTTACTTCGAACAAAAAATACTGAAAATTTCAGCTCATTTGAACTAATCGCTCATTTGAACAAAATAGCTCATTTGAACAAAATAACTCGTTCTGAGAAAACGAGCTTTGAACTTACAGTAACAGAAATGTTTCTCAAAATAAAATTTTTAAAACCTCAAGATTCAAATTTCGGTAAAAACACAAATTCGATCTCTTATAGAGCTGTTAGATGTACCTCCGCCTTAAACTACCCATGGCTAACATAATTTTTGAACTTGAATCCACCCCCAAAGTGGGAACCAATTCATTTATGACTCGATCCTTAGTCAGTTTATAATCATTGACTGCAGAAGTACCCTGAAGATTTTCAAAACTTTCCCTTGGGAAACATGACTGAAAAACAATTGGACATGGGTTGCGAAATGGTCAAGTGTACGGTTATGAAACAGCAGGAATGATAACCTTATAAACATAGAACATCTCTTTATAACGCTTGACGTTGGTTTTATCCTACGCTTATAATCCCCCCACCTTCCACACCCCCCCGGTTTCTAAGCCCGCCGAAAACCCCTTATGAAGTCGACGATTAAGCCCAGGGGTCCATTTCTCGAAGGGGTCCAGAAAAGTTTTCGCACCCGGAAAATCGCAGCAAAATCTCAAACCCTATGATTACAGAGCTGTTTTATTCACATGTTCTTAATATAAACAGAGGTTCTCTTCATACAAGAATAAGTTCCAGGCGTATACACCTCTTTATGTCCTATTAACTAAGAAAGGCTTTTCGGGTCCGAAAAGTTTCCGAGGCTTTCACGAGAAACGGGTCCTAGGGCTTATAACCGGAACGTCATGGTATTCTCCGATCATGTCCCTTCTTAGGCCTTTCCGCGTACTTCGTGTAAAATCGCCTACATATCTTTCCGGAAATTCTTAAAAAATCCTCTAAATATCACAAAGCATTTTCTAAATATCTCGAAGAACCCTCTATATATCTCTTATTATTGTCGTAAAAATACATCGGGTTTGAATCACTTAGGCGAAGATTTTCAAAAATTTCTAAATATCTTAATATTTTCTAAATGTCTCGGAAATGTCACCGTCATATTTTCCTTGCAAAGGACTCCTTACACCTGAACCAGAGGAAGGTCTTGTGAATCCTTCAAGATTGTCAACTATATGTGAGGCACCTCAAGGGTACAGTTCGCCTGGACCTCAAAGGATTCGCGCAAGTCAGTCACGTTCGGAGCAACCACTGCGTATCACATCATTCCTGACTCGAGCTTCCACTCCGAGACCTGACAGGGCAAGTGCCATAGTGGTGAAACCTTGTAAAGGTGAGAGATAGTTCTACACTGGAAAAACAGTCTTTAAAGATGGGGATGCAATAGATAACACTTACAATTAACTACGACACATAATGATCAAGAAATAACGTTTGCACCAATGTTACATTTCCCAATCACACCAATTGGCCATCTCCGAGTTGCCTTTTGCCTCTGGGTCAAAACAAGTCTTCGTGCGAAACCATTCACATGAAATTGTGTTCCCTCTTGCGGGTTCATTTTCATGCAAATCAAAGTTATTTTTATATGAAAGGTTTTTCACGAGATTCGTTGACAGAGGCACAAGGCAGTTCGGACATGGCTTATTGGTTCGACTGGAAAACCTCATCTACATTCATCTAACATATCTGAGAAGGCACATTTTTTAACCAAACCGAAAAAACAGTACACAAAGTAGCTTTGAAGTCGATTACGCGAGGTTTCTCGCGCTGAACACCTCAGGGAGACGCCGCGTTTCACCCAGTTATTTCCCACGGTTTAGTATTTTCCCGCGCTCGGCGCGGGTTGCATATTTTTTGCTTCGAGCTCTGATTGGTTCATTCAAACAAAAGATTAGGAGAAGAAGTGCGTATACTATTTAATTTTGGAACGTTTTGATGGTTTTCGAATGGCTGTCTTAATGTCTTTATCAAGCCCGCGAAAGCGGGAGGCGAAAGTGTTGGCCGCAAGCTTTTAAATTTCACTCCTCATTGGTTGAAAATCAAAGCAGCGGACTAAGCGATCACGAAAAGGATTCAACCAATAAGAGTTGAGCAAACTCTAATCGTTCGATGGCTAATACAAAAAGGCTCCAAGGACAGTGAGATGTATGTATCCACTCACATCCCGGTTTTACTTTCCGCTGTCGGCAAACATACCTATTTCATGGTTTGCTTTATTAGTGCGATGTTTAGGTGCCTTTCTAAACGATTGACTTAAAAGTATTTCTAACGGTTTGGATTCTCTTTCAAGCTTCCACCGCCAGCATTCCTGAGGACACTGAGCCCGAGTGTGTATGTCCACATGGAATACCGCTGGCTGGTGTGAACGGTGATCCACATGCGGTGAATTGTACGTTATGCGAGAGACCTGGCTCTAGAGGGGGACGGGCACTAGCAGGCATGATAGCTTTCCGTAGGGCGCAGTCAAAGATGCAACGACTGAAAGGCTTCAGTAAGAGAACCGCAGAAGGTTATGCTGACGCTCTGCGTCAGTTCGCTGAGAGACATCAGAACGACGACTTATAATCTTGTGATTATTGATCGGCAAATTTGTTCTTGCTCTGGATCGATAATCAGATCTAGAACAGAGCAGAAAATGTGTTGAGATGACCGAGAGGGGCTGAAACAAGAACGTTTTAGTAACTGCTGGAACACTATAACAAGGGCCCGAGACGGAGGTCCTTTAAGTGTTTGTGGAGTCTGAAGCTCAATAATTTTGCACCTTTGGAGTCCAGAGTTATTAAAATGAATTTGGAACGACAAAGACCTGTAAGAATATGACGGAACAATGGAACCCTGTTCCGCTACAAGCCCGAAGGTCTGGTGTAAAAGCTGTTTCAATAATGAACCTTGTACTGCTCAGAAAAAACAAAAAAGGCTTTGTGTTATGGCGAGACACACTGTCTTCTGAAGGTTGAACGATAACAAACCTTCAAACAGATGTTAGACATAATCCACAATATAGAAATAAAAAAAGTGGTGTAAGTTTCAAGAGCAGCTAGTCACACAATAAGATAGTTAAAGAGTCCGTGGAACTCAGCTTGAGCCAAAGAAATGCAATAATCTTATAATAAGTGATTTTATTTACATGTCTTCAAGTGCTGAGTCAGCGTATTGTGTACCGGATCGAAAGATAAAAAGATTTACACTCATGTGTGGTAAATTAATAAATAACCCGTTATTGTTTGTTTACAGCCGCTGACTGATTTCTTGAAATCGTGATTGAACCGTGAGCTAGCGGTATCGGAGGAGATCATCATTCCTCCCTCGGTCTCCTTCTCAGCTCTTTTTCTTTTTAGCTTCGATTTTAGTCTTTTGCAATTTTTACCGAGGTCCACAAGACTTTTATTTGAGAAGTCCTCTGGATTTGGGTGAGAAGTTGAAAATGACATAGAAAATAGAAAGGGAAACGAGGTATCTTAAGTGCTCTCGTCAGATGGACTCTCGATGGAAAAATATTACAGGCGTAGCTTTTGAGTCTAAATTTCAGGCTAGATTCTGAGCGAGACTTAACATAATTTACCAATCGTTGCCGCTGCCGACCCAGAAATGTATGTAACAAATTAATTAATTTTCAGAATCAAAATATTTTCAACATTGACTAGGATTGTGCTTTCTACAAACTCAATCTTGGGTTTAGAAATTGGTTGTAGATGTGAAATCCTAATGGGCGAAATTTCGTTATAAAAAGCTATGATTGTAAGTTCTCTCTACTTCTAAACAACCAAAGGGTTGATAATAACGAGATCACTAACAACTGCTTATCACTTGTAACTCTAGAAAATCCATTAGTTTCTAATTTTTCTGATAGTTTTGTATCGTGAGCGCCTTTTCCTATGACAGCGGTTTCAGTCTCATTGTCTTTGGCTCCTCCCACCTTGTTACACTCGTGCCCAGTGCAACATCGGACGCAGACTCGTCTCTTCCCAGACCCCACGATTTCTACCTCTCGCCGACATCCGTCGTGGCATGAGTAACCACGCAGTCCATCGTCACTGGAGCAACCAAGCATGATTGGCAGAATGCTAAAAAAATTAATGAAAAAGACCCTGTAAGTATTAATGGGATAAAGTAAGTCGGAAAGCTCTGGGGGCAGTTGGGTGGGAAATTGAGAAGGAGGGGAGCCAAGGCTCGTAAAAGGCAACTGCCATTTCAAAAGGTCGTGTGATTCTACTCAATTACACTTCTCAGCTAAATTGACTGGTATGGAAGACATGGAATAGTTTCCGGAATTTCATGTTCCTTAGCAAACCAGTACTTGATTGATATTAAAGGGTCTCCCGCGGGTTTTTAACGAATTGAAAGGGAACATTTTTAAAACTTTCGTGACTGGCTGGCGGTTACTTTATTCTCCCAGTTTTTGACACTCGAAATACACCATGGGTACCAAAGATTGCCATGCACACATGTTGTGCTGTAAAACAAATCCAATTTATCTGTAAGAAACAGAGGGGGGAAAGGTTCATGTTATCAGTGTGGGGAATGATTTTGAGCTTTGAGATCAGGAACAAAGAAATCCCCGTTACAAAAAACAAGGACCTTCTCTCCCGCTTCCACCCCGCCCCGTGCGTCCCGTGTGATAGCGCCTTACCATAATTTGAGTACAGGTTTAGTCAACGCTAGAGCAAGACTCTACTCACCTTGAGTTTGTTCCTGCCGAGCCGCCCTCTTTGTTCAACGTAATGGCAAAGCATCTATCTCCGGGGGGACACTGCGTGGTTGTCACGCGATCTTGTAGGCACATCCTACCCTGGCATTTAAGGCAGCGAGGGCCCGCGGTCATTAGGCTCAGCTGCAAAAAAGTATCCCGTCTCCACACGCAACATCCGCGCCCAGGCCACAAACGACCACCAGAGGAAGAGTTGGTGACCAGATTCACGCGGTCTCCAAGGCCCAGGCAAACGCGTTCACATGAATATTGTCTAGTTTCCCCGGATCCTTTTTCGTTTACGACCGTTTCTTTCTCTGTTGAGACGCATAAATCCCTTCCACGAAACTTTGCCTTGAGCTTGTAGTCAAAGAAATGTATTTTCCCGTCATTTGGTATTGTGTGATGCACAGCTGACAACAGACGAGGTTTGCTCCGACGGAAATTGACAGAGATGTTCTGGAAGCGTTTAACGCTCAGAATAACTGAGGTAACGCTACCGCTCGATCCGTCACGCGGTTGGCACGGAATGATGTAACTGTCCGCCGTGGGGAAGCAGAACCCAAGAAGTCCACATTGAACGAGAAAATTAACAAACAGAGATTGGTAAGCCATCTTTCTGTGTTGCGTTTGCTCTGATTTCTAACTGAAAAATTTGCTCGCCCGCGAATACTTAAGGGTTCCAAAAACATGGCAACACCTTTCCTCATGCTAGTCAAGTGACGGACGCGATAAGGGTGAATCACTTCCGGTTGTGTTTGTTTTGGGTGTAGGTTCCACTTGACTGAACATTACGCCAAAAAAGTCGAAAAATTCGGTCCGAGATTTGTTTATGAACACGTGGACTGTCAATCAAACTGAGACCAAATAAAGACCAGGTATAAAATGGGGACCTAATCATAAGCTTGTGTTAATTTATACGATTTTTGCTTCAGTGCTCTCTATATTTAGAAAAGACGTCTTCAATTAATCCACCCCTCGTTCACTTTAAAACATACATGTTCAGTTTTCTCGTCGATGAAACATTTATGTTAGTTCTGAGAATTTGATAGTAAACTACACTGGCCCTTGCTGATGATTATCTGAAAACTCATCATATGTCTGAATATCAATGTGTTAACAACGTAAGGAGAAACAAGAGATTGATCTCTCAGAAATGGAGTTGAATCTGTGACAAACATGAATCTATTCAAGCGAATTATTCCAAAGAGCCGTGTTTGCGATCAAATAGACAATACAATGCCTTCAAGCGGCCGTTTGGCCTGGGGTTGCTGAATAAATAATTCCTCAAAGTAATTAGGTCATCGTTCACAATTCTTCGCAGGGGAAATCAAGAGTAACGTGATTTTAATGCGAAAGAAAGGTTGCTTTGCGAAATTGGCTTCCCTATCAAGTAACGTTTCTTTTTATCACCATATTTGTTCATGTTACGTGACATCCGGTAGTGACGTGTGCCTTAGAGACGACTGAAACAAGCTTGATCACGAGCTTAGGGTCAGCTTAGCCCACAGTTCTTCTAAAATAGGAAGCGTGATACAACAAAGTTTACTCAAGCACTTAGCAAGCCATAACTAATCTGACAAATGTTTGTTAATACGTGGATGGTGAAGGGACAGGGAAAGACAACCTGACCTTGCGGGTACTTTTTATTCGCGTCGATTGTGTTCACTGGATTGGTATACCGTCAAAACGAAATGACCCGAGGCAAGCTACCGAAGCGAGGAACTTGTGCGTTACTATTGTCAACCTGGGAAGCAGCTCTAGATGAACCAAAATACGACCAAAATGTAGGGTACATTTTATAGAGGGGTGTACCGGGACTATTCGCACGAAAGGGGTGCCTTTTTGG